ACCCTGAGCATTTTGGTTATTCAGAAGAAGTTGTTTAAAGGTTTTTTAATACAATTGACCCCTGTGACCTTGAATATAATTGAAGGTCATTCATTTGAACAAACTTGGTAGCCCTTCACCCAAGCATGCTACTGGCCAAATATCATCTCCCTGGGCATTTTGGTTATTGAGAAGAAGATGTTTAAAGTTTTTGACATATTTGACCCCTGTGACCTTGAAAATAGGTGAAGGTCATTTATTTGAACAAACTTTGTAGCCCTTCATCCAAGTTTGCTTCTGGCCAAATATTGACACCCTAGGCCTTTTGGTTATTAAGAAGAAGTCATTTAAAGTAAAATATTGACGCCGGACGACGGACGGACGACGGACGCCGCGCCACGGCATAAGCTCACTTGGCACTTCGTGCCAGGTGAGCTAAAAATGTAAAATCTTTTTCTTGATATTTCATATTTTAAACTAATTTTTATGACTAACAAACATAAACTAAATTTAAGACAATGACAGTAAGCAATATACCGGGTTTGCTCCTTTGCAATGTAAAATTTGTTCCAAGGAAATGCAGTATTTTACAGTATTGACTATTGTTTCTAATAATAGCCCTGTGAATATTAGAACACATCATGAATTGAAAGTTGGGGGTTGGGCGATAATAGGAATCAATGTTAATCACCACACATCGTTGAGTTTGCAATTGGGGGGTGGGGGGGGCTATTATTGGAGATAAAATTAAAAAATTGTAAAAATAAAGCTCTACAGGGCCTATATGACTGCACAGGAACTGACCGATCAGTTTTATATGGAGTCCATTGGTTCAGCTAAGTCTATATCAAAATAGTGTATATATGACCCTTTCTATTTCAAAATACGTTACCACAGTCATTATAATGCATATTCCAACCTTACTTGGCTCTTTACATACGTAAATAAAGAATTTTTCCCCCCATGGGGAACCCCTGGGAAACCCACCAATCAGACGGCAGTATTCACGCACGTGATTTAAGACACGAAGCCATGCTTCCCACTTCATAATTCCTTCAGCCGGCCGTGTTTACGGACGTGTTTTGGTGTCTACGGGTTCCAACTACAACAGGCGTTGTTTGTACCCATACATTTACGTATCCTTTATAACTAGTTAACTTTATTTTGTTTTAATTAAGCTTTTTGCTTTATTTTGCGCCGTTTTGCGACCAGGCTCCGGCCACGTGTTCGCGTTTTTGACGGTTTGTTTACGTTGAGATGGAGACTCCTCCTTCTCAAAGGCGCTGTCCTGGGGGTCATTTTTTTGAGGCTTCCGACCCCCACCCTTACTGTCCTGGCTGTCGGTCTTGCTCTCTGGAGCAGCCGTGTGA